TTTTTTTTTTTTTTTTTTTTTTTAATTTTTTTTTCAACGTTTATTTATTTTTGGGACAGAGAGAGACAGAGCATGAACAGGGGAGGGGCAGAGAGAGAGGGAGACACAGAATCAGAAACAGGCTCCAGGCTCTGAGCCATCAGCCCAGAGCCCGACGCGGGGCTCGAACTCACAGACGGTGAGATCGTGACCTGGCTGAAGTCGGACGCTTAACCGACTGCACCACCCAGGCGCCCCAAGGGAGCTGCATTTCCTAACAGCTACTAAAGAAAGGAGGGTGTGAGCTTCATATCACACCTGTTACAAAGACTCCAGAGGTCTGCAGACTTACCTCATTGTCTTCACCTTGTACAGCAAGGCACTGCTGATGGCCAAGATGATGACAAAAAGGAAGAGGGTCATCAGGGAGATGCCCAGCATTAATTTTAACTTGATTTCCTGTAGCTGTGTCATGTTATCTTCATTTATGGCATTCAAATCAGAGTCTGAGAAGAAAGAAAGAAAAGGCAATGGGAAAGAGTAACCGAGTCCAGCATGTTTCCTGGAGAAGTAAGGATAGCAGAGCAACTGCAGAAAAGCGTTCGCCATCCTGAGTAGTCACTACTCACGCCCACTACTCATATACCATGCAGAGAAGACTGTAGGCTCCATCATATGGCTAAGTGCCCTTCACTTTTTTTTAAACCTTCACTAGAGTCCTGGAAGAGCTGTTCTTAGCTCCATTTTACCGGATCACAGAAGTTTATGAATTTGCCCATGGCACCTAGCTATTAAGTGGCAAAATCTGGTTTCAAACCCACATTACCAGGTGCTAAAATGTGTATATAGGAATCTTCCTCCCTAATAAAAACCACTGGAAAGATGACTATTGAAAATATGATGGACTCACACAACAGGGGTTAGTCCTTCAGCAGAGAAAGATAGAATTTTACTGTTGGGAACTGCATTGATTTTTCTCTGATGCCAAAAGGATGGTGTACTGAGGTTTAAGAAATGAATTTACCATTTTATTACTGAGATCAAACCTAATGTATATGATGTTAAAAAAAGAAATGAAAACTTACTGCTTTCTAAAATATGTGATAAAAATCATGTCCAGACCCAGAGCTATCAAAGATATCAAATCTATTGATGAAAATATAACTTTACTGCCAAATTTTATATTTTCCTGAATTTATGCCTCACTTAATAGCCATTTATTTAATGCGACTTTAAATGACCATGTTGTTATTTCTCTCTTCTCCCAGCTTTCTCCCACCCAAAACTTACAAAGGTTTTCATTATTTGTTAGGTATTGATGTTTTGGATAAGCAGTGACAAGCTCCCACGTCTGTATTCTCTCATTCTGTTAATTGTCAGAGTACGATCTTAGACCAAGTAGAGTGAAATGTACAACTATCATTGATTATCTTGACTTCAAGGCAGATTACTTTGGGAATGATCAAACAAATGATGTTGAAATGGGCTGTGCTCCTGAATTGCTTTGCTACTCCTTAAAAGGTTTTTTATAAAGAGGTGTACTTGTAGTACATTTTGTTTTTTGAGGTGATGGTCAAAACTAGAGAAGGGTTTGGAATTCTCAACCACTGGACATTATGACAAAGCTAATTACAAGTATGGACAGGTTTTCTCTCTCAGCCTCAGTTCTCTTGTCTGTGAAATGGCAATAATACCAACTTCATGGAGTTGCTGTGAAAACTGACATAATGTATGTAAAGCACCTGGCATGTAATAGGTACTAAATACATGACAGAAAATAAATCATGCCCAATCTAATTAGTTGGAAAGACAAAGTATTTCTAAGGTAATGCAGCCTTTGTCATTTCTATATACAATTTTTCTAAACAAAGAATTCTCTTCATTCTCTTTAAACACTGCAAGGCGAACGGCTGTATTTATTACAAATAATCCAATGCAGAAGAGAGTTGTCAGGACTTAGATGTATTACCAGGTGCAATTTTTTCCCAGTAGTTTATTTGTAGGACAGAGGTTTTGGGGTAAATTAATGTATTGCCTTATTGTGACATTTTCTATTGAAATCAGTTCTTTTACTCATATAAATACGACTAATCCATTAATGAAAACTACAAGACTGCATTCAGCAGCAGGAATTTTCTCATTCCTTGCTGGTGGGAATACAAAACAGTATAGCCACTTTGGAATTCGGTTTGGTAATTTCCTACAAAGCTAAACAGTTTTACCATACAATCCAGCAATCACAGTTGTTGGTATTGACCCAAATGAGCTGAAAACTTATGTCCACACAAAGACCTACATATGAATGTTTATAGCAGCTTTATTCATTATTGCCAAAAATTGGAAGTAATCAAGATGTCCTTTAGTAGGTGAAAGGATAAACATATTGGTACAATTTATTGTACATTGTCCAATTGTGTGGACAATGAAATGTTAAATAGTGATAAAAAGAAATGAACCATCAAGCCACAAAAATACATGGAGGAATTTTAAATGCATATTAACAAGTGCAAAAAGCCTTGTGAAAGTCAATACACTATAGTTACCAACTATAGAACATTCTGGAAAAGGCAAAAATATGGAGATGGTGAAAAGAGCAGTTGGTAGCCGGGGGTTAGTGACAGAGGGGATGGATTGGTGCAGCACAGGGGATTTTTAGGGCAGTGTAACTACTCTGTATGATTGTAATGGTGGACACATGACATCATGCATCTGTCAAAACCCACAGAACTGTACAACACAAAGTGTGGACCCTAATGTAAACTATGGACTTCAGCTAATAGTAATGTATCAACATTGGCTTGTAAATTATAAAACGTACTAAACCAATGCAAGTTGATAATGATAGGAAAAACTGAGTAGAGGAAATATAGGAGAAATCTGTACTTTCTGCTCATTTTTTTTCTGTAAGCCCCAAACTGCTCTGAACTTAGAGTCTATCAATTAAAAAAAAAAAAAAAAACTGTGTTCTATATATGATTCACTTGCCTACTCCCCCATTTGGTTTATCTGTTTTAGGAATAGAAGTTATAAAACGGGAAAATAAAAATAGCCCTCTCCAACATGGTACCTGGAGAATAATGCTTAGGGACAATTGCTTCTCTAAAACAGCAACTGTCCTCTCTGATATAGTGTTAGCCACCGTGCTACCCTTTCACATACACTTCACATTACTGGGGAAAACACTATTGCCACACAGTGAAGTCACACACTAAAATGTGTGCTGGCATTGATGCATCCATTTAATTGAAGTGTTTTGTGCTTACGTGGAATTGGGTGAAATAATTGATCTTTTTCCTCAAGCTCCTCAGCTGTTGGTGTTGCATTTAAAGCTGTTAAAACAATAAATTGGCGTTAAGGTAAACAAAATTAACTTCCTAAAATTATTGTGCGTGCGTTTAATATGTAGAATTTATTCTCATTATTCATGACACTTATGTTCCATAAAGTCATGTGAACACTGAATTAGTGAATACCAAACTGCTGCCCCTAGGGGAAATACAAGGTTAGGTTGCTGTGAACCTCTGGTCACATTTTCATCAACCAACCAATACATAACCTTGTTTTCTCTGTGTTTCTGTTTAATGATATTTTATTTAATATATATTGTTGATTCATTAACAGTGAATTCATGATTAACAGCATCATAAATATGCCTGTTATCTGACACATATTTTCTCCATAAGGTATATCACAGCCTTCTTGTGCTTAGGAATACTAACCAGTATCTTAATACTACACTTAGGGGCCATTTTAATTAGCAAAACCACCAACAAAATGCACAAACATGCAAAACACGCAGCACTAAGTAAACCACCAAAAGGACACTTAATTACAGTGTAAAAGCTAAAAAAAGGAAGGCAGAGAGTTGCCTTCCTTGTTTTACCTCAGTTGGGAACATTGAGTGTCAGGCAATTAAAATTTTTGCTGCTCTGGGCATGTCCACAAGCGACCACGAAAGTAATTTGGGGGGTTACAAATACTCTTTAGATGTAGGTAAATTCACAAATACAAAATCTGCAAATAATGAGGATCAACTGTGTATGTATATATTTCATGTCTACAATGTACATATATGTGTATGCCACATGAATTAAATTTACTCATGTGTGCATCTACATATGATATATACATTTATACATGCATATATATCAACGCACATTACATTTATTCATGTATGCCTATATGCTTTTGACATATGCAATACATATTACATATGCATTTTGACAGATGCTTGCATATATTTTGATATATACTTTGCATTTATTCACACATTTCCATGTGCTTATGGGCAAATTGCTTCAAACACAGAGAGGGACTATATTGAGCAAGAGCCTTACTTAAAATTTTTAATCATAAATAAATTGAATGACAAGGCTGCAATATTTATAGGAGAATAAACATTTAGGAGAGGGAATCAGAAAATGCAGGACATGGTCAACTTTGTGGTTTTGATTTGCATTTGCTATTATGTATGATAATGGCAGCAAAATGTTGACTTATTAATTCTTAATTAATTCTAATATTAATCCTTAATATTAGAACTGACTCATTAGAACAAAATTACACTGGTCTTGGCTTTCTTGCATAAGACTTTAGAAAACCAAAACATTTTCTCAGCTACCTAACGACTATTAGGTTAGGTAATAGTCGTTACCTTTAGCTAACATTGTCCAAAATGCAGGCTCATTTGGATGGTTGGTTCGTCCTGTTTAAAAAACAAAATAGAACAGGATAACTAGGTAAGGTGAGTTCGCTTTAGTAAATTTAGGATAGAACATTTATTCACTTTTCTGTTGGTCATGTAACAGTTATACTTTGAGCTCCTACCATGTTCCAGACCCTGTGGTCGGCACTAAAGTTACAAAAGTGACAAGACATGGACCTTATGCTGAAGGAACACACCCTCAGTTTGGGAGACAGACAAAAATCACTATTCATTATGTTGCAGGATAACGGGGGCTTCAATAGAAACACACAAGTGGTGTGCACATAGAAACCAGCTGCAAAGGCCGGAAACTCTTCGAAAGGGAGACGATGCTCCAATGTAGTCTTAGAGGACTAGAAATTGTTTGCTAGGCAAACAAGGGAAGAGTGAGGTTATTTCACTGTGAACAAAGTCAGAGTCGTGAGCAGATTTGGTGAGTTCTAAGAGCCTCAGGTAGTCTGAAGTGAAGAATGTGGGTGGGAAATGGGACCACAGAAGAAACTTGAACCTTTCCCAGGGGTCAGATTGTTTCAGATTTAAACGCCTGGTTTAGTAACTAGAACATGATCTCAAACCTAGTAGTAAATTACTAAAGATATTTAAGAAAGGATATCACTAGGATGATTTTCTAGTTCTAAATATATAAAAAAGATGACTAAGTTGTTTGTTTTAGTAGTGTTAGAGATGCAAACTAATTCACAACAGTCACGTGAGAAACATACTTGGATTGCATGAACTGGAGAAAATAGGGTTTCATGTAACGACAGGTCCATTGTCTTCAATTAGACCACTTGTTCAAGACCTTAGAGGAGAGCCATCCTGGGGGTTATGTTTTCACAAATATTTCATAAGGAACAATATTATCAGCAGGAGAGATAAATGATGATTTTGATTTTGAAACCTCTCACTACCAACCGCCCCCCACCCCCCACCAATAATTTTGGGAAACACTAATAATTGACTCTAATTAGAAATAAATTTATTCCTCAAGCAGATAGACACTTGTACATTATTGTTTTTAAAATAATATTAAAATGTATTTAATATATTTATATGTTGAATATAAATATAAGTGTAATACATTTTGTTAAAATAGATTTTATTTTAAAAAGAGCTCACACCCTCTCCCTTCATCAGGTAAGTCTAAAAATGGACTCAGACTTCCATTGTTTCAAAGATTTTCAAGTGACTTTAAATTGCAGCTGTGTAAGTTCTTTATAGCACGCTATTACTTTATGAGACATCCAGAGTAATGAGACTTAAATTAAATCGTATAATGATATGCTCCAGGTATGACTAATGTGTAGAAACTTTAATACTTCGATATTGTTTTTGAAGGGGTTCAGTAGCATGTTCTTCACTGGTGGCTTTCCCAGGGAATGACGTAGTTGTTTCATTGAGGAGTTTATCTAGGAAAAGCGATAATAAATTATCAGCACATACAAATATTGACAACGTCTGTGATTAGGCATATTTTTTAAGCTAAAAAATGGAACATAGAAGAAAAAGAGAAAGATGTTGACATTTTCCTGAGATATCGTAAAGGAGGGGAAAGACGAAGGCATTGAAGAATAAAGTTTTGGGAAAATGGGTTGCCTGAGAAGGGATTAATACGCCTATAATTTGTGGGAAAGAGGAAAAGCTGGTACTGTGGGGCCAGAAGCTTCTTTTAGAGGTAAAAGAGGTAAATACCAGATGGTATTCTGAGCAGAACTTGAAGTGATACTATCAGCCCAGAACAGCTTGGTTGCTGGTCAGTGTCAGGACGTGGAAGAGGAAGGTACATCAGTATCCTTGTAAATGGGAAGCGTTTCCTTTACTATTCAAAACAAAATCAAGGGTTTTCAGGCCTGATTTACTATGTATTTCAGTCTATAATGTGCCCCTCTTCTGGAGGAATGTCAGTAAGAGTGTATTTGGCAACAATTGTGACCCGAGACGTTTTCCACCCCTCCCCACCCCCCATGGTGGCCATTTCAGTCAATTTTGTTTAATGCAGGCACTAATAAAGTTCCACACGAAGTACAGGCAATCTCGCTATAGAAAAAGTTCTACATAGAGACAGAGTTAATTCGGACTGAGGCTACCAACAGCACCATGACAGGTACCTTGTTGGCAAGAAAGCTATGGAAAAGAGAGTCTGTTTCCAGACTTGACATGATTCAGGCAGGACTCCAACAAAATTGGTAAGTAATCCCCGAGGTCTGCTATAGAACCCTCATACTCTATTTTGGCAAAAAATCATGTGGATTGCCCCCTTGCCCTCATAGTTCTAGTTCCAATTGTTAGTCAAAAATTTTCTGCAGAGTTCCAACTCCTTGAGGGGCTTACTCCTCTAGAATGTCCCTACCATGTTAGCATAATTCCTTCTGTCAGATCCCCATTTTAAATGGCAACAATTCCTTATCCCTATCCAACTTTCTTTGACAATACTCTGGAGACCTGAATTGTGGGAATAGCAATTAGGTTTTGCAATTTCTTTCATGGGTCCTATGGTCCTCAAAAATCCATCTCTTAAGGAATTTGAGCTACTTGGTCTAAGACCTGCCTTTCTGTCTCTTGTCCCAAACAACTTAAGATGATGTTTGGTGTATACAAACAAAAGTGAGTGATTTGTTTAATTAACACATGCCCTTGTGTTTAATTGTGCCCATGTGTTTAATTAACACATGCCCTTGAAATGTCCCTAATTTATTTCCCAAGGTTTGGAATTTCTCAAAATATTCCATTATTATCAAATAGCTTTTATTAACAATTAGGTATTACTGAGTCTGGCTTTTCCCAATATTAAAGTTGCCAGAGCCAGACACATTCTCTCTTCTCTATTTAATTTTATCCTCTTTTCCTTGTCTTCTGTTTTATGCTTGGGGGTTTTATAGATTTGAGCTGCCAACACTTCATGGTGAAAGATATGTATATCTTTAAACATATACATATAGATATGTATATGTACTTTGGAGACTGTTAATGGCCTCCAAACTCACATGCTGGCAACAGCTTTATTTAGCAAATTCATTATGCTTGGTGGAAAGACACAAAAAAGAAATAAGAACATTTGAAGTTGAAGGTATAAGCAGAAAGGAGTAAAAATGTGGGCTTAAGAACGACATACTGTTTTATACAGCTATACATTTAGTCATTTATCTTTCCATGAAAACCAAAAACATGAGGCTAAGAAATGCAAGAACCTCCTTGACTTCTAACTTTATTAGTGCAAGGGGTATGGAGTCTCCTTATTTTGGAGGTAGGATTCTCTGACACTAGGTCCACTAAGACCTTTTTCCTACTTGATACTCTCTAGAGCTATTTAGAAATCTTGCTTTAAGGGCTCTTCCTATTTGCAGTGGTGGTTTTCACTACTTTCAGTACTTACAGTTTCTTAGAGCAAATTGCAAATCGGTTGTTGCTCTCACAGATATTTCAGACTGGCTGCCATTTACATTTTGCGTTGTGAACACATCTAAAAACACAAGATCAAATATTTTCAGCAACTAGCTAAGTTACTTCTTGTTCCTTTAAATTTTTCCTCATCTGATTTTTTTTTCTTAAAACAAAGGTACTAATTCCAAGAAAAGAATAATAAAGTATTTGAGATATTCTTCATCTACAAATTGAGGAAATGGGGCATGGTTTAAAAATAAAATTCATGGGGGAAAAAGCCAAATTGGTATCTTGATATTAAATAACATTCCAAGGAGAAATTATTGAGGAAATTATAACAAGTGCTAAAGTAGATTTGTAGGTGTATATTATTATCACTGTATTGATATAATCAAAAGCCAAGTAAGAAGCATTAGTTTGCCCCTGAACCTTCTGTTAGATTATAGAATAGCTTAAACAGCATATATTTCAATAACAATAACAATCACAGTCTCCCATACATGTTCACATTTACATATATACATAAAGATTCTTGCTCTTAAAAGTTGTCAGTGGGGTTGGTTATAATTCAAAACCAATGGATATATCCACCCAGAGTAAGAGTAGATTGGATCAAGATGGCTGACTGAATCATTGACATATGAATATATATACATGTCTCTTTTTTCCAAAATCTCATGAAATGACAGAAAATCTTATATGTACGTGAATACATATGTATGTTTAGTACATACACATCTATTCATTCGTCATACCACTCAGGCTTACACTCATGCTTACACATACACACACATGCACACACACACACACAGTCCCATTAATGTAAAATGATTTTTGAGGAATTTCTGAGCTAGATCTATGGAAAAATGTAGCAAAAGGAAGCAAAAGCCCAACATGTATGTTGTAAGTTATGAAAGTATAGAAACTAAGACACAGTGGTATTTTTACAGGGAAAGACAGATCAAAGAAACAATAAAAAAGGTAGCAACTGACCCAAGTTCAAATGAGAGTATATATTAAATGGGTTTCACATAAGTAGGGAATTGGTGTTCAATATTAGGCAATTCTCCTTGAAAAACACAAAGTTTCATGCCTATTTTATGCCATATACAAAGATAACTGATTTAAGAACTAAAAGTTAAAGACAAAAATATGAAATCATTTGAAAAAATAGGAAAATAATTTATCTTGGATTGAATAAGACCTATCTAACCAAAATACAAATTTTTTAAAAAAATAATCAACATTGATTTCATAAAATTAAAATTTTTCTCTGTGATTAAGATCCTAAACAGGTTTTAAAGATAAGCAATAGACTGGGGGGAAAATACCTGTTAACTATTACTATAGCAAAAACAATTTGCTAAACATAAAAGAGCCCCTACAAATACATGAAAATACAACCTGATAGAAAAATGGGCCATGGATATGAATAGGCAAATCATAGAAGTAGGAATAAAAATATCCCAAAAATACAGAGAAAAATGCTCAACTTCATAAGTAATCAGAATGCAAATGAAAATAGTCATGGAAAATTCTCATTTATATTCACAAAATATGGTTAACAATTTTCATTGTAGGTAAGATTGTGGAGCATTCTTGGAGGCTATAAATTGGTAGATGCTTTTTGGCAGTGTCTGGGTGGCTCAGTCGGTTAGGCGTCCGACTTCAGCTCATGTCATGATCTCACGGTTTGTGAGTTCGAGCCCCACCTCGGGCTCTCTGCTGACAGCTCAGAGCCTGGAGCCTGCTTTGGATTCTGTGTCTCCCTATCTGTCTGCTCCTCCCCTGTTCACTCTCTCTCTTTCTCTCTCTCTGTGAAAAATAAAAATAAAACATTAACAAATAAATAAATAAATTGGTAGATGCTTTTTGGAGGGCAATTTGGTGGTATCTATCAATATTTTTAAAGATTCATTTTTTTATTCAGCAATGTCCAGTACTCGGTATCTATCTAAAGGGAGATACACTTAAGCATATATGAGAAGAATGTCCAAGGGAAAAACTGCACATAATCTAATTCTTTAAAAAAGATAGTGGCTCAATTATGGGACATCATTTTCTGGAGTACTAGGTATCCACCTAGTGGATAGATGTGAAACGAGCTTGAGGTGTTAAATGAGAAAAGTAAATCTTGACACATTTTTGGTAAGATTTCATTTATGTTTTGTATGTATTTGTGTGTGTAAGAATGATTTTTTTCTTTAATCAAAGTTATCATCAGGCTCTTGATTTATACCCTCTGTTAATTCCAGAGGTACATCCTGAAAGGGGAATGGTTGAACCATGTGCACACCATAGTGGCGGTCTGATCCTGGACAGATTAGATCCGACTCCTCCTGACTCTGCTTTTGGTAGCTATGAAACCTGGCAATTGACCTCTCTGAGCATCAGGTGTTTTTTGCACCTACAAAAGACAGATATTGATTCATCAAAGAGAAAATAGAAATACAACTTACACATTATTGTGATCAAAGTACTTGAGTGTATATATTTGTACATGTATATATATGTCTATATCTTGATTGTATTTCTATTTTTAATTTGATTAATGTTAATAAGAATCCCAAGATAATTAGATTTAATCTTAATTTTTTTATTTTTCATTTTTAAAAAGTTTATTTATTTTGAGAGGGAGCAGGGGAGGGACAGAGAGAGAGAGAGAATCCCAAGCAGGCTCCATGCTGTTAGCACAGAGCCCCACATGGGGCTCGAACCCACAAAGCTCAAGATCATGATCTGAGCTGAGAGCAAGAGTTGGATGGTTAATCGACTGAGCCACCCAGGCACCCCTGTTTTTATTCTTAACAAGAGTTTCTTAGGAACTTTTCACTTTTTAGAATGGTGGACCTTACAAGGAGATGGAAAGAAAGCCCATATGAGTAATGATGAATAAACTCAAGTTTGATGGACCTTCCAAACATCTTAAAGTCATCTTGACATGAATTGAATTTTGCCCCCCCTCCAAAAGTCTGAACCCCCAGCACCTCAGAATGAAACCTAATTCAAAATAGGGTTGTTGAAGATAAAATTAATCAAGATGAAGTCAGCTTCTTAGTCTGGCCGCCTTGGACAGGGCTGGGCAGGGTAAGGTGGGGTAGGGTAGGGTAGGGCAGGGAAAAAAAGATGGAGTCACCCTGGAGTAGGTTGGGATCCTCATCTGATATGGTGTCCTTACAAGAAGATGGAAATGGACAGAGAGACAGAGCAAGAGTGTCATGTGAAGATGGAGGCAGAGATGGGAATTCGTGACAAGCTGAGGAATGCCTGGGGCTACCAGAAGCTTGAAGAGGCAAGGAACGATCCTTCCCTAGAGGCTTTGGGGAGAGTATAGCATGACCAAAACTTTGGTTTTGGATTTCTCGCTTCCAGAACTGTGAGAGAATAAATTTCTGTTGCTCTGAGCTACCCAGTCTGTGGTACTTTGTTTTAGCAGCCCTAGAAAATGGATACACACCTCCAAAGAAAGTTTGGTTAACAAAAAACCATACAATTAGATCAATTGCAAATCACCAGAATGCCACGTGCCCTCTGTTAATTACAGACCATTATTGAAAGAATCTTGTTAAACTTCATAGTGTCTCATGAAAACAAAGTGTCTCATGAAAAAAAATAAAAATTTCATTTTACACATGGAAACATTTAGAAGGTAAATAGGAATTTAAGATGTAGGAAATAAAATGATAGAGTTTTAAAAAGAGTTAAAATAAATCAAACCAGAATAAATAGCTTTTGCATATGTATTGCTATAAACTTTAAAGACTTACATTGTTTTATATCTTTATAATAATTGCCATTCTTCTCATTAGCAGGAGTATCCACCTTATTTTCCGGTGGCTTATTTTCTGGTGGGTCCTTATTTTCCGGTGGTTTATATTCTGGAGGTTCCTTATTTTCTAGCGGTTCCTTATTTTCTGGTGGTTCCTTGTTTTCCAGCGGTTCCTTATTTTCCATCAGTTCCTTGTTTTCCAGCGGTTCCTTATTTTCCGGTGGTTCCTTATTTTCCAGTGCCTGTTTACCTTGCTTTTCAGGTAGCATCATTTCCGATAACATCATGTCCCCAGACTCTGTAAAAGGAATGTTCAGAAATATGTTGAGTTCTTTTACTACTTTCCCCTTTTCAGCTACATTTTTTCACAAAGGATTTGAGGCCGAGATTTAGAATGTACATTATGCCATATTTCCAATGATAAACTTTACATCGACCTCTAGAAAACTGTCACATACCAATTTTCTAGGGTAATGGAGATCTTATCTCCATCTTATCTTATCTGCTATTTCTGTAAAATCTTTAAATACTTACTCTCACCATCATTATGGGAAGTCATATTGGGGAGCTGTGAGGAAAAAACCCCAGATACAAAAATATACAATATAAAATTCATTGGGAAAATGATATGATTTATCCAGTTATCTACTGCGTCTCCTCAGGGTTTCCTTTCTGTTGCCCAGCAGATCCGACAACTAGCTAGGTCATTATGATGTCACTGCCAAGTGGAGGTCAGAATGTCGGGTAGGAGTTTCCAAAAGCTTTGTGACTCAATCTGACATCTATTTTATCTTTGGTACTCTGGTGGTTTCTAGTTTTTTAAAAAGAAAAACCATTATCAGACTTTCTTTGAAAATTAAGAAATATATTTTCATGAAATAATGTGAATTGTTAGTCCCTGGATTTTAAAGAACCATGAATATTGTTGCTAACAAAATGAGAACATGCTTTGGTTTTCAGAGCATTACAATATTATGTGTTCTTTTGGATAGCTGCAGCAAAGTATCTGTTAAAAACCAATTAGAGATACCAAGATTCAAGCCATATGCCCTGCCAGTTCTGGTTCATGGACTACCTTAACTATAACTCTTTAGGAAAAGTGTTTTGAAACTCATCTTTTATATATATATATATATATATATATATATATATATAT